ATATATATATATATAATATTTATGTTATGAATTAAAAAAAAAATAAAGGGATGATTATATAATCTTCTAATGAAATCCACTTACACTACTTAGAGATATTCGAGCTCTTTATTTTTCGCAACCGAACCCTAGTAGTCTCACTTATCTTGTATAAAGACATTCCTTGTAGAATATATTTTCAGCAAACGGTTATATAGCAATGCAACTAGTATTGTTCTTTTATTTTTTCATTGGAAAAGACAAACGTTAAGCTTTATAAAAAAATAAAAAAATAAAAAATAAAAACGTTAACATGTTTTAAAATCTCGACAACAAATAAGAGAATTCATCATTTAAACTTTAAATCAAACCAAATAAACTGTATTTTCTAAAATTCATATCCAGCCAAACATATATCTTAATACGTACTATGTGTTTGGACGTAATACTAAAAATAAGTACTTATTTTCCAAATATAGTTACATCGAGAAGAAAATAAACAAAACACGCAGTGTACTTGAATTTAGCTGGAGTCTAAACGCTAAATTACACACTGTACAGAGATACCTTTCTTTTATTGGCAAAGGTTCAGTAATTGTTTAAATATCACTATTTAAATGAGTGGTGATAAACATGGTTTATGAAGAGAAAGACAAGAAACAAAAAAAAGTAATAAATATGATAATTAACACGACTAAAAAAAAAAAGATGAAAAAGAAATATGCTTAGGATTAGAATTATGAATTTCGAATCTCATCTGTACCTAAGTTTGAATTATTTCACTTATGAAAGGACTCATGAGTCGGTGACTTACTTGCTAGAGGACAATAAATGCCAGCAACCTACCACCCCGCGTAGAGACCATATGCTTTAAATTAAAATCATTTTCTCATAAAGCTCTTGAAAAATATTTTATTTTTCTTTCAAAAATAAAGCTTTACAATTCATACCCCTCCCCTAACCCTAAGCACCTAAACCCAGCAAATTCAAAGACTAAATCAAGAATCACAACATGGTTTGAATTAAGGCCACAACATTGTGCAACATGCGATCCAGAAAACTACTACATATATGTGACTATAGATTATGCATATACTACTATATACCTTAGACACCAGTGATACATGAAAACATCCTCTGACTCCTAAACCGGACAAGTTTTGGGGAATCAACAGCTGTTTTCATCTGGGGTGATTGGAAACCACTACCGAAATCTTCGACAGATTTATATCTTCTATGACCAACTTTGTGAGGTTCGTTATGATGAGGCACTTTGTGGTTGTGGGCATGTGGGGTAGGGTCGTGAGTTTGAGGGTACATGGATATCTCGGCCATGCTGATGCCTGATGAGAGACACTCGTAGTGGCGTCGTGTTCTGTTTTTCTTGATTGCTTTGAAAACCAGAGGTAGAAGACCCTCCATTATGCCTCTTAATTGATTTGTTCAGCCCCTGTGAAGGAATGAGAGATATAAAGAAAAATGTGAGTTGAGGAGATTGAAGAATAGGAGCCAGGAAGTTGCCGCGGTAGGTGGGTTTCCTTTTTTAATGATTCTCTCTATTAAGGACAAAATGTTTATGGACATGTCAACATGGTTTTTGACTTTGACGAGCACCAGCAAGATAGGCTAGTTTTATTTTAGTTTAGGTTTAGCCACTTGTGGTGGTGGAGGCTTTGATTAGTGAGTGATTCAATTTGCTTCTAGAATAACTATTTGCTATCTTCTCATTTATAAGAAGAAGAAAAACTATTTTGATACATATGTTCCAAAATAATTTTTAAGAAATGATTCGATAAAAGAGAGAGCAGTTACAAATGATTCAAATAGAATATGCATGTAACATAAGTGATCATTAAATGTAAACTCTTTACATAAATCAATTATCTTACAAATACAAATAATTTTGAAAATAAATTTTGACTATCGAATAAGGAGTTATAAATAGATACCAATGGAACTTACATAATAATTATTTCTCAAAATAATATCTGAAAATAACAAAGATAATTATTCGATAAATCGTAAAGAAATCTTTTGAGAGGTTAAAAAGGATTTGAGGTTAGCTATGTCACTAATTTACTTTACTTGAATATGATATTTTTATTAAGAGGACCCTTAAACTAACTATATATTTGCAATTGAAAAGTATTTTTAAAATGACATATTCTCTTTAACTCGTAAAAAAAATTCTATTTTTCTGATGCTATAAAAATGATCTTATTTAATATTATCATGTAATGATGTTTTCCACGGAATGAAAGAGGAGATTAATTATTCAAAAGGTTGAAAGAGTAGTGGTAGAAACGGGCCAGTAAAAGTGACGCAAGTTGAAATAAGCAGTTAAGCACGATTATTGCAATCATAATAGTAGAAACAAAGACTTTTTCATGATAGGCCCTTTTCTAGTGTAGTACACAATTAAATATCTTAATCATCTCTATCCTAACTAAGCTCACACCTAAACAACTTATATTCTATAAAAATGTTGTTATGAGAAGAAAAAATTATTTCCATAACCTGAAATTGAGTTTGCCCCCAAAGACCTTTCTCACCTTTTTATATATATTTATTTTAATTTTTATATTTTACCTGTCTAAGTAGTAAATACCAGTTTTGGGCTTCTGCGACCATCCTGTACATTTTTAAATAAATCCCCACCTTATTTTCTGAACATAAAAAAAAAAAACGAAATTAATTTGATCCCTTAAAAAAATAAATGATATCAATTAATTTATAAAAAATGTTTGCAATGAATACCATCATATCAAATTAATTTTTCAATAATAAAAATTAACATCAATTCGAGATTTCATGTGTTTGTATAATCAAAGGAACTCAAGGTATTTCTCAACGAAAAAATCAAAGAATAATTTCACGAGATACTGAAATCTATGAAAGAACTTGCATCTTTTGATTTATATTTTCTTACAGATGCAGATTACTTTTAACCACGAACTTAAAAGACAACATTTTTGCCAATTATACCTGTCAAATTTTGGTAATATGCATTTCTATATTCTTGAACTAATTTTGTTCGCTCCAAGTTCATAGTGAGATAATGACATGGTGGTTTTCTTGATGGATCAAAGTCTTATCTAGGTAGCACTCTGTGGTTGTTAGTGGTGGGTCAAGGTTTAAATTCATGGAGTTGCATAGATGCAAGAGGGAGAGTGAAAGGAAAAAAGAAAAAAAAAATTAAGAAGTAGACGTAATTTTACATTTCTCAAACATATGTTCAAATAAACGTGTATCTTTTTGTTGGGATACAGACAAGTCTCACATCTTATAAAATAAGAGAAAAAATAATAATTTATAAAACACACACATACTCTAATATTAGATAGGCCTTTTGAATAATTATAACCAAAAGTAAAACCGTGAGGGCTTAGGCCTAAAACGGACTTGTGTGCAATAATCTTATAAAAAGAACCATCGTAAAATATCCTTTCAGACAAATATCATAAAATAACTTCATTAGTGGTATCAGAGCCCCACCTTCATAACTCATAACATATAATGTGATATATAAAGACAAATTAGGTCTGAGGGGAGGATTGTTATGATATAAACAAGTCCTACATCTTATAAAATAAGAGAAAAAATAACAACTTATAAAACATGTATATACTCTAATGTTAGAGAGGTCTTTGTATAAAAACAAATAAGCAATCATAAAAACGAAGAAGAGCAGTCATAATGATATTAGCTAACACTATCTATCATTCCTCTAATTACAACATAATCTAACAGTGTTAAACTCAACAATATCAACACAAGGAGAACATCATCATCATCATCATCATTATCAAAGCATCATCCAAGTACACAACAAACAAAACACTATCAAAGTACACAACAGAATCATGATAAGTACATAACTCACGGCCAATTGGATCCACCTGCTCTGATACCACTAAATGTGACACCCTCTACCTTGACATATATATGAAACATATTCTTGGTTTAAATAAAATCTTTATAATTAAAATAATAAATCCATTAAGAGTAGACGATTCACATTTGTATACTTCAAATATAGTCAAATGCGGAATTTATAACAAAATGAATCTTTTCCAAAACAGAATAACAATAAGGAATCCTAAACTAAATCTAGTTATGCCCCGATGTCACATATCCTATCAGAGCATGCCTAACTGAAGCTTAAGCCTCATCACCAACATCCTTGTGCTAATGATCATCTGCAACAGAATTTAAACATGTACAAAGAACAACAAAGGAGTGAGAAACATCTCACTCGATTCCAGGTGTAGAAATAACAGTTAGGCAACACACATGAATCATAACAATTACAGTCATAGCTACACAATATTCAGGTGCAAATTCAAATTATACATACAGCAATAACACATGCACAGTCATTCAACACGCAATGATCTCATGGACTCAACTCATAAATGCATGTGGCGCCAGTCACGTTTCTCATAATCACATTTCTCATCATTTCATCACTGGTGACTCAAGGTACACCTTGTTAACTTGTTACATCACTTGGTGACCAAAAGGTACACCTGATTAGCTTGTTACATCACTTGGTAACCAAAAGGTACACCTGGTTAGCTTGTTACATCACGTGGTGACCAAAAGGTACACCTAGTTAACTTGTTACATCACTTGGTGACCAAAGGGTACATCTGGTTAGCTTGTTACATCACGTGGTGACCAAAAGGTACACCTGGTTAGCTTGTTACATCACTTGGTGACCAAAAGGTACACCTGGTTAGCTCATATATGCACATGATGCATGTCACACGTTCACAACCTAATGGACTCATCACTTCACTTGTCATGGAATTTCATGTCTTATCACATTTCACATCCTCATAGTCATAGTGTTCACATTAGCACATTCTCATTCACATCATGAATCATGTTATTTGTTCATATTTCACATAGTCATACTCATAATTGTTCCTCATAGGATTTCGCACAGGAACCCATAGAGCACTCTAATTTATATCAAAACATATTTAATTTTGAAATCAAATACATATTACTCTCTACATCACACAAGGAATGCAACAAAACATTTAGAAAATAAAACAAAAAACATTCATATTTTGTCTGTTTTCTCATAGGGTTTCCCGTAGGAACCCACAGAGCACTCTAATTCATATCAAAATATGTTCATTTTCAAAATTAATCACATACTCATACATCACATCCAACAAGGAATACAACAGAACAATCAGAAGGAAAAATAGAAAACATTCATACTTTGTCCGTTTTCTCATAGGGTTTCCCTCAGGAATCCAAAGAGCATTTTAATTCATATAAAAACATATTCATTTTCAACATTAACCACATACTCATGCATCACATCCAACAAGGAACACAACAAAGCAATCAAAAGGCAAAACATAATTATTCATACTTTGCATGTTCCTAGAAGCATACATCAGGCAAGGGATTGAGGGCCAATCCGACTACCCAACAATAATTCTCACACCCCGAGCGAGGTTTCTCACTCTCCCTTACCTGGATGAGAAGAAGACGAATGGTCTTGGTGTGATCTAAGGTCGTTCTTGGGTATTCTTCCTTAGAGCTCTTTATTTCTCCTCTTTTTTTTCCTAACCCTTTAGAACGCAAATGAGGCAGATAGGGTTAACACTACCTGACTCTTTTCTTAAAATTAATTCATTGGGCTAGGTCGACCCAACCCATTTTCCTTCTCTTCTAACCCACTTCTCTTTTTCCTCAAAATAATTAAATAAAATAAATACATGTATATTATAAAATATTTTTCCTCTATAATAATAATATATTTCTGACCCAAAATATAATAATATAATTTCAATAACAAAATATCATATAAAATCAACCTTCTCTTAAAACATATAAATATTTATTTAAATATGCTAATAAAAAATACTTATTTAATACGTACAAAATAATT